AATTACATTTTTTAATTTCTATATTAATATTTTATAAACTTTATGCATAGTCTAGAAAAAGCGCACTAGGGCTCCAAGGTACCCTGCACAGATGAATATGTGGCCTTGTCCCGCGCAATTGTAATTAAACCATATTTCTTCTGAGTGATATAAATCTCTGTCGCCTAAGAGTTTGATTGCTTTGTTTATTTTTCATCGAGTGAGAAAACGTAGAAATTATAACCTTTCATATTTTTATCTGATCTTACTTAAAGATAAACTGCACTAAAAAAAAAAGAAAGAAAAAACACAAAAAACAAACAAACAAAAAAAAAAACAATCAACTGAAGTCATTCAAGTCGGGTTCTGTTTGAATTGATTCATTTCAAGGCATAGGTATATATATATATCCGACCGCGCGAAAGATAGCAGCTGAAAACTAGTTCTTAGTCAATTGAGCGTACACGGTCAAGGAACGAAAGTAAAGCTACGTGATTTGTGTCTACATYTAGACTTCATTTTTTAATCTTTCATTTCCTTTCGAAATTTTTTCAAGTTGTTCCTCTTCTACCTAAATACCAATGATTCATAGATATTAAACAGTGTTTTGTCGAAGTTCATGATAAATTTCGCAAAACCTGTAAGATTTTGATTTCCTTTTTTGGAATAAGACTATCTATCGTCATTCACAGGCTCATTACAAGCCGACTSAAGTCTTTGCGAGCGAGTATCAACGTCACTATCATTGTTCTGTGGATCACGTGATTTCAATCTTTTATCACTTATTGCACTTCCAACAGAACTTTCCATTTCATCAGCTTTTCCACGACAAAGTAGTTTCTTTAGATAGTGCTTGAACTGATTATGCTGAAGGCTGTATATGATAGGATTTATAGCCGAATTACACGAGCACAGCGCCACTGTTGCTGGATAGGCGATGTCAAATCGGAGAGCGCTCGGCGCGTACGACAAGAGCACGAATRCAGTTAGCTCTGGAAACCAAGTCAATGCGTAGATGACTGTGACGATCAAGACCATTTTGGTGGCTCTCTTCCGACTCTTTCTTTGTTTTTCCTCGTGAATTCTAACGACGACATTCTTAAACCAAAGAATGTAAACAACGCGGGAATACAGCACTGCCATGGTTGTCATGGGTACAACACCAATTACCAGGAAGGACAGCATGCTGTACGTCTTAAAACCACTTGGCGACAACAGAATATCACAGGATTCTTTGTTTGCATTGAACCTTTTCCAGAAAAATCCGGGMGAGTTCCACGCTAATGAGAAAAACCAGCAGGCAGAAACTAAAATCTTGAGATTTTTMGTTATGAAGCTTGTTCCATAGCTGTGAGGATGGGCCACAGCAAAGTAYCTTTCGATCGAGATTGCAAGCARTAAAGCAGACGATGCATAYCCACCCATCCAAGCAATGGTCTCACCKGTGACCAGCGAGCACAAMACATCTCCAATTACTCCATCTGGGTGCGAATAAACTCCTTTGAAGATGAATGTAGGGCTGAAGAACACAAGTAACATCATGTCTGAGATGGCAAGGTTAACGAGRAGGTAGTTCATGGGTGTTCGCATGGGTTTGTTKAGARKGACGACGAGACAAACCAAGATGTTTCCAACGACACCGACGAYGATGACCAAGGCAAAAGCGGTTCTTATGGCTATATCTGTTGCTGGGTGCATTGTGGGCGACAACCACGGAGTATAGGGTGGATCGAATGACACACAATCAAATGAAGAAAACTGAATGCCTTATTAAGCACTATGCAGATTCTACATCATTAGACATGTAGCTCTGCTAAGTCTACAATCACTTTGTTGACGATGAATATTTGTGGTTGCCAAAACTCTGCAAGACGCAATCTTAGCAAACGCTTCTTGAATTCAATTTGAAATTTCCCAGTTCTTTTTGCTGAATGGGGTTTACATAGTCTTTTGTAGGTATTGAATATGATTGTAGATTGTAAATACAAAGTTATTAGAGGGCGGTGCACTCGCCTGTAACTTAGAGCTATCCAGTGATGTCCTGGTCAAACTATAGCAGGTGTAAAAGGAAAAAACGATTTCGTGTGTCAACTCTATGACAATTACAAACTGTAATTGTAGTTTTTCATCAATAAGAAGTCAGCTTTTAAGAAACTCGTTGCAATTTATCGCAATGGGGTGGACAAACTTACGACTTCGACATTACTCCCGCGCTTTTGCTTCTGGTATTCTGCGCATTAAAGAACACTTGCTGCGTCGTTAGTCAAATCTCAAACTTTGTTGTGTGTAAAACATACGTCACCTGATCATTTTATTGACTTTGGAAACATCTGGGCAAAGCCTTTATATTGATTTTATGACTTTTGTTGATACAACAAGTACAAATAAATTGACAGCCTGYCACCGTTGTTATTAGATCACCTTTCAGTAAGAACAAGACGAGCTGAAAGATCTCTCTGTTTCATTTCCTTTCGACTTTAGCCACAGATTCGCAGTGTTGATAATTTGCCTACAAGTCAACATCAAGCTGCAGTAATTGAAATTTAACGTCTAAAAAAAATTGGCGCTCTTCGTCAAATAGTTTATATTCTATTTATTTTTGATATGAGAAAAATTATGAAATTATAAGAGGGAAATGGCGTCATGAGTTAAACTTAGGTTTTTGATGCTATATGCAATGAACACATTTAATACATTGTCAATCATCAAAATTATGCTGAAAGTACAAAAATAAAGGCTTCATTTCCTGAAAATGGATTTTGAATGTCATATATTAAAAATTAAGGAGATTCTATATATTGGTTTTGAATTTGGAATAAGAATGATTGGTGCAAATATGGAGGAGTTCTATGTTTTTATGAAGTAATCGCGGCATCATGCGTACATTCGCCAGAGCGAAAACAACAGCAACAACAGCATCAGGAACGGCAGCAACATACAGCAACAGATAAATATACATTGATAAATCGCTGTATAGTAAATAGGTTCTTGTTCCCTCCTGTAASACATTCAAGTCATTCTAAAATCCAGATCTAATCGACATCCTCGCCACAACAGTTTATATTCATTAAAATCACTCTAAATACAGTTACATTGGAATCAGCCCTCGTAGTTAGTCTAGGACTATTCGAGGCGAGGGCGATAAAARWYCYYSGSYT